TCTCGGCTCCACCATGGGCCAAGAAGGGGGGGGGGGGGGGGGGGGGGGCTGGAGGGATAGGTTAGGGTAGATTAAAAGGGGATGGTTTACTGCTTAGACCGTCGGCAACCAAGAACCGCTAAACCTGTTGCAACCGTCGATACCTCTGCGTGGCCACTTGGACCCTCCGATCTGTCAGTCTCGCCAGTACGCACTAGCCCATGGGGGTGCCATGGTCGAGCCTGGGTACAACTAGCATGTTTCCTGTCACTATGGCACCCGTACGAGAGTCCACACAGAGCAAAACTTAGACTACGGTAGGGCCCATCCCAGGGGGGATAACCCTACGCACACACTGGTGTTAGTATGGGTACTTCTCATCCCACAGGTATCTCACAATGCCTGTGGGTGGTGCTTCATCCAGGATGGGGTCCGTGGGAATTCTCATTGGGGGAATTAGTAGGACTGTGGATTCTTGGGGAGCCTTGGGTAGGAAGGCATCATGCTTAGGATAGGAGAAGGCAGGATATCGCATCTTAGCGGAAGGGCGGTTCGCTGCCCATAGAGTCTGAGAATGAGGCACAAATGGGCAATGACTGCATGTGCATAGCCCTGCCTGTGCCCGGGTCATCCTTAACATTAGAGTTAGGGCAGTGTCTGCATGAAGACTTTCGGGTTAGTCCGGTAAGCGTTGGCGCAGATCAAGACTTGCGATCTGAGCATTAGGGTAGTGTCTGAATGAAGACTTCAAGTAAGCATTGGTGCAGATCAAGACTCCCCTAGGTCCCTCGCAATCCATCTGACCTCCCAATGGATGAGTACTACGGGCACCTCCTGAGACCTTGGCCACCACCCTCTACTACACCCTGGACCTTTAAAAAAGATAAAAAAAAGAAGGGCACACTGAAACCACTCATTTTTCTCATTCTTCTTTTAACTCCCCCTTCACCGTGCCTCTCACATACAATGCTCGCCGCGTCGATTATGTTGAGCGCGAGCTGCCTGCATCCCCGAGTGCCATAACGGCCCACTTGTACGCTGTGAGAAAGAGGCAGAGTAAAGGGGGAGGGGATAAACACAGGGAAGGAGATGGAGAGAAGACAAACAAAGAACGACAAAGGGAAAGTAAGGGAAAGTACGGAGTGTGGAATGAAGATGAAAGCGAAGGAGAGGATACAAAAATGTTCAAGAATGAGTCTGTCCCTTGACGACAGAGAGGACATACATGTAAGGATGCGGTGGATGAACACATAGAAGGCCTAGCTGGGCAATCTCAGTACAACAATTGCCACGATGGCTGGCATTGAGCATGCTCACCATACACCTGCAAGAAATGGCATGTCGATTGCAGGCCAAACTAATATGTATATATATATACATATATGTATAGTCTTATGTTTCTATTCAATGGGCGTGGTTATTGGCAAGAGCTTATTGAATCAATTGTATGGGCTCATAATAAGTTAAAAGTTGCTCCTGCTATTCAGCCTAGGGCCTTGAGTATTGTACAAGAACGTGCTGTAGGAGTAGCTCATTACCTCCTATGTGGAATTGCCACAACATGGGCATTCTTCCTAGCACCAGTAAGTTCTAAGTATCTCTCCCCCACTGCTCTCCTCTCTTATGTATTTCTCCTCCTTCCTGGTCTTCTCCCTAGCCATGTCCTCGCTGTGTCTTCTCTCCCTACATGCGTGCACACTCACTAACTTTTACTCAAGGATCTACTCCGAATACACCCACTGTCAACTTTACTAACCCTCTGAACTGTACTACTACCCACTGTCAACTCTACTAACCCTCTGAAGTCTTCTACTAACTACTAGTACTAACACCCTGCACTGGCGCAGCTATGGCTGCCTTCTCCCTGCCAGCGCTCTCTTCCTCTCTGCAAGGAAAACGAGCGATAGAGAATTCCAAAAATCAAACAGCATCATGCACATGTGACCAGATAGTCGTGACCTCGAACCAATAGCAGAATTGCATCGCGAGTTTCACCAAATAAGAGCACAGCAAAAGCTCACAATTGACAATGCTAGAATAGTATAATCATCATCAACGAAGAACCAATGTCGATATCCTATCTGGCGCTCGGCGCCCAGACTACAAATGGCAGATCCTATCTAGCCTATCTACAATGCCGCTGATGACGTCAACAGCTCCCCAAAGTACGAGCAGATCTCGGCCAATGCCGTACGCTTCAAGCACCAGGTGTGTCTCTCGTATCACTCGCCAAAGAGGTATGTACCACGTCAATATCCCCAGCATATCCCTTGCCACGTCATCAACTACTCGCCAAAGAGGTATGTACCACCTGGCGCGTACTCAATATACAAATGTCGTCGTCAGGAGATTTGCTCCGATACCAAATTGTAATGAACCCAGATCGTGAGACAGTTGTCAACAATGCAAGTCCAGATAAATGTCCATCGGCTGATGATTATTAATAGTCAAAAATCGTGACCAGACGAATGAGGTGAGATATCATACACAGACGAAGAGAGAGGAGGGAGAAGAGACAAAGGAGAGGAAGTAAAATGCCCACTCCTGCTTCGGGCTCCCTCCTCTACTGCCACCTCAACAATCAATAGTCTGAACGAGTATCCGAGTACCCTCAATGCGCCACGTGGCACGTCTAATCAGTTCCACATCAGCATCTGGAGCAATGTCGACATGAAGACCATCAGGTACGTATCCTCGAACTCTCCACAGTCCTGATCTCCTCCTGAAGTGACGACGAAACAGAACAGCAATGCCGATTACGTAGTCCCCTCAATCGAACACGTGGCAGCAGCCACGTCAGCCAAATGATATACGTGGCAGCAGCCACATCAGCGAAGGCGCATGGCAGCTGCCACGTTAGCATGCCAAGAAGACAGGAGCAAGCCGGCCACCATGCCGGACTAGCAGCGCCTCGCCAAGTTACAATGCCAGCAGCGTCGAGCCAACGTCGCAGCGTTGAGCCAGCGTTGAAGTCAACGCGTGAAGTCAGCATCAACACAAGACAGAATGAATGTCAAAGCCAGAAAGTCAACTCTTATGTAGTGTTGATGCGGGGTCGGGGCTCCGGATGCTGTTTTCCTCGGCCGTCTAGATCTCAATGCGAATGAAGGCTCAAATTGGCCTGAAACCGAATTTCCTCCGGCCTGGATGATGTCTGGGTACCTGCGCACAGCAAGTGAGTGTATCCAACCAAGGGCCTGGGTGCAGTACCTTTGACTCTACAGTTGACTTTGACTCTGGAATTTCCTGTGTGCAGTGTTCAGTCACACAGCCACACTCGATAGGCTAAAGCCTGGGCGTGTCTTGGTCACACAGCCCAGCGAAGACCTGAGAAGGTCTGCGTGGCCTGGGGCTGAGTTCTGGGCCCCAGGCTACTTCTGAACAGGGTTATTACATTCCTGCTGGCCCATTTTCGAGTTCCACCGCAAAAATATTTAAAACTTTAACCCTCGTTCATAAGCAGCGACAATATCAGGAGCAGTTTCAAGTAGTTCACGTCTACTAAACCATCTGTCCTCAGATGATGCTTAAGCTTTGAAACGTACCTTGAACTGCTTCTGAGGTCGTGCACGTCCTCCCGCAGAGAAGTAACCATGCTCTATAATCCGGTCAACCTCGTATCCGCCATCCATGTCTGGTGGAATCATAGAGGGTCTGTGTGAAAACTCATTTCCTTCTACGTAAGGCAATAATTTAGACGCATGAAAGACATGATATGTTTTGAGATGAGGGGGAATATCAACACGATAAGACGGTCCCTCTGCATCTCCAATTACCTTGAGAACTTCCCAGGGTCCAAAATAGACAGGTAGCAATTTATGAAAGACATCTTCTTCTAGTTAAAACTCTTTAGATTTTACCCAAACCAAATCACCCTCTTTGAATGTAGACGGTCGACGGTGCTTGTTGGCTTGTTCAATCATCCGTAGTTGAGCTTTCCTTAGATTATCTTTAACTTTCTGAATGTCTTCCTGAAACAAGATTGCATATTCTCAGGTCCCTGGGGGCAACCTAAGAAATTGGTCCCGGTTCAGTACATCAATGAGACGTTTAGGCTTCCACCCTTTGTGAAGTGCATTTGGGGTTCGTCTAGTGGATGTGTGGACACTATTGTTCTATGCACTTGCAATCTTAGGTAAGTTCTCGTCCCAATCAATCTGATCGGGTCTAATATACATACGCAAAAGTTGTTGGCATAGACGATTCATTTGTCCAGTTTGGCCATTCGTTTCGGGATGCCTCCCTGACGACATGGTCAGCCGTGTGCCATAAGCTTCCATCAACTTTTGCCATGGCAGACTGGTGAACCTGACATCTTGATCAGACACAATGGTTTTAGGGAATCCATACTCAGTGACCCATCGCATCTGAAACTTCCGAATGACAAGTTCAGTACGTGTTTCTGCCGGTAAGGGAACAAACATAGCGTATTTAGAGAAACGATCCACAATTACCATCACTTGACTATTACCATTGCGACTTTTAACCAGACTCATAAAGTCAATTGAGATAGACTCACCTGGTTCGCTTGGTATAGGTAATGGCTTGAGAAGTCCAAGGGGTTTTTTTCATGCGACGACTAGTTTCTTTGACACACTAGACATGTACGAACATATGTTAGTACATCTTCTTTAAGTCCCTTCCATTCGAAACGTTCTCTGACTTCAGCATATGTTTTCTTGAAACCAAAATGTCCCTCAGAGTCGTGACATTCCCCAATCAACAGACTTTTGATCTCTTCCTTATAAGGAATACACAGTCTTTGTTCAGCTTGGTCAATCAAGAATAACAATCCATCAGTCATTCTATAGTTGGGTAGCTGGGATGGATCTCGTACAAGGACATCCATGATTGGTTTCCAGATAGGATCAGTAGCATATCCTTGGCAAATCTGGTCTTTCAGGTCATTCCCAACATCCAAGTAAGAGACAATTGCACCAAAGAAATCACTCTGTCTGGACAATGCATCTGCGACCACATTAGACTTACCTTTGATCGTTTTCAACTCAAAATCGAAGGTATCAATAAACGCAGA